CCGGCAAATGTTCTTTGTAAAAAAAGTTTGTAATTTATTTTTAATACTTTTCGGATAATTTACTTGGTTTACGTTACATATTCAAATATAAATTGTTCAATGTCTGAGGACTTTCTGCGGTTGTTTGCCATCATAAAAGAGCTTTGATGTTGTGTCATGGTGATTTTCTAAGCGTATCTTAGATGTGGCACAAGGCCGAAAGCTTGGGGCACCCAATGTGGATCGAACTCACTATTCAGTCGTAATTGACCTAGAGAGAGAAGCTTGCTAACTATTACATCACCTCGAGGTGCCCAAGCTGATTTTCTAAGCGTAGCTTAGATGTGGCACAAGGCCGAAAATATGGGGCACTCAGTGAGGATCGAACTCACTACTCTGTCGAAACTGACCTAGAGTGAAAAAGCTTGTTAACCATTACACCACGTCGAGGTGGCCAAATGATTTTCTAAGCGTATCTTAGATGTGGCACAAGGCCGGAAGCATGGTTCTCCCAGTGAGGATCAAACTCACTATTCAGTCGAAATTGACCTAGAGAGATACACATGCTGACCATTACACCACGTCGGAGTGCCTTGTGTTTGTGTCATGTCGTCAGTTTATTTTGTAGCCTATGTACTCATGTATAAGTCGATCCGAATATAAGTCGATCCGAATATAAGTCGATCCGAATATAAGTCGACGTTCACCTATCTGGTGAATGGGCAAGAATGCAACCCACGTCTCTAACCAGAAGCTGCTAATCAACACGCTACGTTCTGATAGTAAATTCGACGAGTGAAGAACATTTTGTTATTAAGTTTTAATATTCTGATATCGAAAATGGTTTAAAGTCCCATTTAGAGCAGTGATGCTCAACGTGGTCATTAAAGCCCAAAAGTGATCCAGAGAAATATTTTAAAGGCCTGGAAACACCAAGAGTCCTATAGACATTCGTTAGGTTTTATATCTTCTGCGACATTGTGCTTTTTTTTTTTAAATAAAATGTATTTCTACTATTTACATTATTCGGATTATTGTCCACAGCTTTGTCGCCATGTTTATCACAACGTTTCGGCCGTTGTACGCTCCAGCCTTCTTCAGGTGGTTGGAATGCCGAACTGAACTCTTTATTTCGCTCATTGGGGTAGACTGTTCTAGTTCCACGTGCCATGTCTTAGACAAGAATCATCATGTTCGAGATATTCACTTTGGTTTCAATCAAGGTCACAAAGCTTCTAATTTTTTTTGGGGGAAAGGTATGAATTCTCTTCTTCTCCCCCCCCAGCTTTGTGTAAATATGTCTAAGCATGTATCCCGCGTGGCCCATAACTGAATGACTGACATTCCAGTCGAATCCATTACATTCACTTACGTGCTAATACACTTAGGAAAGGTATGAATCCTCTTCTTCTCCCCCCCAGCTATGGGCAAATAGTAGATTCTATAGCCTTGGATGGCAATTTTTTGTTTCTTAGTAACTCTGGTCATCCTGTGGAACTGTTGTTTAACTTTATTGGAATGTTATTTCATATTCAGTCAGCTATGCGCCATGCGTGATACACGCTTAGGCGATCATGTATCGAAAGATACATGACTGGCGAGGCAGATTTTTTTGCGCAATAGGTTGCCATTTCTTTCTACAGTAGACCAGTTGCTATCCAAGGCTATAGAACCCGGTCTGTCCTGCTATTTACCCATAGCTGGGGGAGAAGAGGATTCATACCTTTCCCAAGGGTTATACCTTTCCCAAGGTTCATACCTTTCTCAAGATTGACTGCCAAGTAGACAAGAATGAACGTGATCGACATCTTGTTCTTTTTGCTTTTAATCAAGGTCACAAACCAGCCAAAGCTCTTCGGGACATGTCTGGGGTGTACGGAGATGACTTCATTATCGATAGAATGGCACCGAAATGGTTTTCCTGATTCAAAGAGGGGAAGATCGAACTAGCAGAGTCTTCGTGTTCTGGCCTACCTGTTCAATTTGTCGAGAACCAGTTGCAGGCGCTGATTAAAGAAGAACCGTACCAGAGACCCTCCCCACCCCCAGGAAATTGACTTAGATGATGGAAAGCTCTTATGTTACTGTCGCTCGTCATCTTCACACAATAGGTAAGGTCCAAAACAACAAAACGATCAATGCTAAGCTGCATGTTGAACAGGCACAATTCAGCTGAAAACCTGAGTGGCCATGCAGTTCGATTATTCCACATAACAATTTTCGCACCCCCCCCGTCGCTAACATAGCCAATCATGCAATTAAAGAGCTCGTTTTGGGAAGTTCTGTCACATTCTCCCGATTTATCCCCTCTAGATGACCACCTTTTTCGGTTGCTTTCTAATAATTTGAGGGGTGTTTTATTCAACAACGATGTCGGGTATAAACATAGCATGCTGAATTTTTTGAGCCAAAACCTAATGATTTCTATTGGCGAGGCATTGATCGTTGGCAGGAGGTCGTAAACAATGAAAAGGAATACATTTTTGAATGATTCCTCAGAACTATTAATAAATAATAATTA